CAATTCCGTGACCTTCTTACGTGACATCGCTTATCGGCTCAGGACCATCGAAAGCAGCGCCAGGCGGGGATTTAAGTCGGCTGAAGTAGCCGTCTTTTGAGGAGCGAGTCTCAATACCATCCTTGGCCAACAGCGGATGCTGTTTTCATCGGCGTCAGCTCGGCGTCCGATTCGGCGCGGTGCGTGTGTGCGTGTGAGCGTGTTGGGGGGGGGGGGGGCGAGTCAGCACCTCCGCTGGAGCGCTCCCCCACCTGAGCACGCCTCTGCCCATCAGTCGCAATCAGCCCGGCGGCGACGAGGCTGTTCGTTTCGTGAAGGACTCATCGACACGCCACCAAAAGGCATATATAGATGGACCGGCGGAAGGTTATAACAGTCACCCTTCAAACGCTGCACCATGAGGCTCGTGGTAAGTGTTGCAGTGGTTCGCCGGATCATGAGCGTGGATTCGGAAACGCGATGGTTTGTTCCCGTAATTGTTTTGTACACCCTTGGTTTATCTTGTATATCAGACCGACATTAGGGCCTGAGGGCATTGCATGCTATTTAGCAGCCACACCACAATCGGGGTGAATGTGGTCGATGTGAGCAAGCTCACAAGGAAACATAAGCACGGGACCGCCCATAAACTATGCTATGCATTTAGGGAGGGCTTGGTGGAGCATATCCGAAACATAGCAAGGGATAGGAGGAAGGAGCATATAGCGTAACCTTACGCCCTGGCGTGGCTACAAGTAAGCAAAAAAGCAAGATATTTCGAAGTCCTGAAGCCGGACAGCGTTGGGATTCTCTATTGACAAGCAGCACTCCCGTTTTTGTTTCACACCTCTAGCTTACTATAGCGACCAAACGAACGCTGCCTTTTTGGAATGTTACGCCTAATATAGCGTAACCAGAACAGGGTTTTTGCCCAGGGTCGTCAGTGCTCAAGAGGGGGTTGAAATATGGTAAATAATGAGTAAAGCAGTTCATGGTTGGCCCCACTACGATCCCACCCACATGATTGACAGATGCGAATCTGATAATAATCGAATAGTAACCACATTTTGCAATGTTTTTGCCTGTAGGCATGTTTAGCTAACCTTGTGGCTTTCAAAAGGACCCGTGACCCGGGGAGGATTAGGCAAAAAAGAAGGCGGCTTTATGACATTGGATGATGTTTAGGCTTTCCCGTACGTGTTGGGTAATTTCTGTCATGACTATTTTGACATCCTTGTGTAAAAACCGGATATGCCATTCCATTACGTTTTCGCGAAATATACAGAAAATTTTACATTTCCCCGATTCATATAGTTTTTCGCATTTGCGATCGTTAAGCTTCAGCAAGGTTTTTGCTTTGGCATGGGCCCTTTTTAGTGAGGCAAGTCACACACGGTGGCTTTCTGAAGTATAACCTGATTTAGTCTACAGACTTACAGCCGAGGGGAAGACGCGGAAGGACGGTGTTTCTGTTGTTCGGCGTTTGGTGGGCACAAAGTGCCCGTTTTCGAGCAACACTTATCAGCTAATCATAAGAAAAAATGTGTTCCATGGGCTTGATCCCTTTGACGACTACGAGAGCATCGAGCCATATTCGTGCAGTTCATAAACTCAACGCGACCTATTCATAAGTTGTGTACAACGCTCAAACATGCGCGTTACATGTACGACCAAAGATATTGACAAGGTGCTTGACGTGGGCACGTGTCTTTGCGCAAGACCAACGGCGTTCAGTGATATGGGAGGATGTCAGCTTTTGGCTGCAGCTGGAATGGCCGGTCATTGGCTCTCATTACCTTCCAAGTTTTGGGGTGGAGTTATGCCATCGACCGGCGAGATGTGATGCCTGTAACGGCCAGCAGGGGATAACGTTCTTGAAACGAGCCCGGATTAGCTAACTTAACAAACGCTTATCAAAGACGGGGCATGCATTCGGCGTTTTGTGTCCCATTCAGTAGAAGATTTGGCGACCGATCAGTACATCTTTGATCGAATATAGAGGTCGTCAGAGATAAAACCACGAATGTTGAAAGTCTTGTCAACTAACTTTGGACGGCACGCTGACTTTGTAGTGTGCAGCGCGCACTGTCCGTCCCTTACGACAAATTCAGAACAACAGTCAGCATATGATCGACGAGGCCATGAAAGTTCAGGTCCAGTTTGTCACGGGACATTTGGCATGGGCGTTCACTTCATGAGGTGTTCCATGCATGAATAATGCCAACACGGCACTTAAAATAGTCGTTGGGCTTACAATTCCTCTAATGATATGCTGAATACATGTTGGCTGTTCTTTTTCTGAATAACTCATGCAATCTTGTTGACAGCATGTACTTAGGAAGTCATTGGAAATCATTTCAGCCGTGCAATATCTCTGAGTGATGTGCTTCCCACATTTGTGAGCCGTGCCAGCAAGTACGCAGTAAACATTTTAATAATAAGGTAGCGGGACTTAAATAATAAGTTTGATAAAAGCTATGCTTTACTGGAACAGTCCAAAAAACTAGGCAGCAGAGTATGACTGCAGTTCATGAAAGGTCAGAACAGTTTTTGTAATTAATTGTGCTCGTTTGTTTGCCGATAAAGGGTCGGACCATTTCGTCAGCATTTTCATACGCCACGCTTGTTGTATCAAACTCATGCAAAGTTGCAATAACAGGTGTATTTTTATCTCAGTACTGATGGCCCTTGTTTTGTATTGGTACTTTGATAAATGGACAGTGGTAACGAAACCTATATGGTGCTCCGGGGGCATGGGGAGGCAGGTGTGATTTTACCTCGCTTTGTTTCATGTGTCACCATGCGGGCTAACCCCAAGGCGTAACCACCGTGCAGGATCCATGTTGGTTTTCCCCATGTTTGTAGCATCACACGCTAGGCTCCCAGTCACTCCTAACTTGGACTTGGCTCTCCGTCACCACGACGGCTGTTGGGCGGCGAGCGCTCTAGTTAAGTGACACAATGGTGGATTTGATTGATTTCTTGTCGTTTACCATCAGATATATGGTGGGAACATGTCACCATGTTATTGGGATGAGTAAGCCATAGCACTCTCCTGTTATCTGGCTGGGCCGGTCACTCCGAAGTATTGTTTGAGCACCGCGGTAGGCTTTTTATGGTTGTTTTGCGTTGCTTTGCGCGCTTTTCATTTTCCATCAGTTGTTCACAGTGTGGGCTGTATTACTTAGCATTCTTATCTCCTAACTGATTTTATGTCTTCCCGCCCAATGGGGCTGAATTATTCTACCACCCACACCGAGAAATAGTGCAGCCAGGTGCCTGAAGGCTGCAGCTGGTGGATATCCACCATTTCCCCAATTCCTTCCAAAACTATGCACTCATCATGCATGTGACATGTACGGTCTGAGGATCTGGGCCCCTGAGCGCAGCACTCGTGCCCTGTACACCATGTGTGTGGGCAACAAAAAGAACAGCAAGCTCAGTGTAACAATGCGCTGAACATTTGAGATGACTGGAGAAGTGGACAGTGTGAACAAAACTAGGTTCTGTAAATAATCAGCAAAACGACTCCTTCGTGTGGTCCGGGCGTTGGGTGTGGTCGATCAGAGTGAAGTATCCATCATTGTTGTATTCAAGACTTCCGTCTTGACTTAAGTTTTCTGCAATACGCACATGACACGCACGTGTGCTTGTTGAAGAGACCGCGGGCTTCACGTTTCCAGGAGCCAAGTCGCGCCGCCGCCCACCAGGGCCTCAGCGCCAGTCGGGGACGTCGCGCCCCATCCGGCTTGACCGGTCAACAATATCGCAACCAGGAAAGACGATCATAAAAGAGCGCAAACAATGAGCGGTGCAGTCACGGCACGTCGGCTCCGCTGCAGGACTGCTGATGATTGTCTGCAAGTGCGCATTTAAAAATCGAAAGCGGACCATCACAATTCCTTACCCTGTGGAATACCTCGCTCCATAGGCTTCATACCATGAGCTGGGCGGGATCATTTTTATTTCGAATGCTTCCAAGGAGCGCGACCAGCGCACGACCTCACAAAAGGCAGGCATGGCCTGTTTTGATTTAGCTAGTACAACGTTGGCAAGCAGCCGTCATGACCTGATTGGCATGACGCAGACTGAAAGCTGAAACAAATGGCCGCCAACAAGGGCGTGCATAAAGCGGCCAGCAGGGCCAGTAGCTTTTTCATTCGCATGCAAAGGCTCGGCAGTTTCCTGAAGACAGCATTGCTTCTGGAATACGTAGCGTAGGTAAAATCATGCCCGATAGAGCTCTCCCGGTGTTTATATTTGTCCGTTTACGGTTCATTAGCCATTGGGCACCACTATGTCGCCCGGAAACCCTCGGCGAAGTCTTGCGCTGCGAAGTCTGCCAGCTGCACGAAGTCTTTTTTGGACACCTGCTTCGGACGTCGTACAAACTACCACGCAATTTTCGTGCATCCCCACTTCAGTGATAAACGGTGCATCACAGATGTTCCACAGGCTGCCTGGCTGTTTGGCTGCAGTTGGCCGGGATGCCTTGTCATAGCGTTTTGTGCTTTGGTCCTCAGGTCGCCGCGTGGCTGCTGGTGTTGGCGCGAGCGGCGCCCCCCAGCGTGCCGGACATGCAGGGCTTCGGTCCCGGTGCCTTCCCGTCGTCGCCCGCACCGTTCTACCCGCGCCTGGACGGCTCGCAGTACGGCTCGGCCCAACCCGTCATCGGACCCGGCAACAATGTGGTGCTGTTCTGGCCGCGCAGCCAGGCCGAGCATGGCGGCGGTCCGGCGGAGGCGGGCGCGGGCGCCGGCCCGGCACCGGGTGCCGCTGAGCACGCCGTTACGCCGGCGCCGGCAGAGCCGATGACCGGCGCCGGCGTCAGAGCCGGTCCGGGCGGCGCCAGAGCCGGTCCGGCTTCATCCGGCGTCAGGCCGGCCGGGGGAACGGTGGCCGGCGCTGACCGGGCCGCCGCCGCCGCCGTTGCCGCCGCCGCCGGACTGCCTCTGGGCCCCTTCTTCAACATCGGACCGACCAGCGCCGGTGTGCTCTCGCCCCGACCAGGCGGTGGACTCATGGCCGGATTCGTCCTGCCCAAGTCGGCAAACCCCGTCCCGATGGTGCCTGGCGCAGGCGGAGCTCAAGCAGGCGACGTCCGGTACGCCGCACCGGACGCAGGCGCTGGAAACAATGTCGAAGCCGGAGCTCCACAAGGGCCTCCTCTTTACATTGACCCAGCGTTCCTAGGAACCTTGAGGTCTGCTGCGGGCAACGGCAAGGCCGGAGAAGTGCAAGGGCCCCCCACTTACATTGATCCAGCGTATTTGGCCTCCTTGAGGTCTGGCTCGGGTGGCCCCGAGAAGTTTTTTCCTGGTGGCGAACCTCCTGCTGTGTATGCTTCAGATCCCGGTGCGTACATCCCAATGGGCCCAGATCACTATGCTCAGCTGCAGGCAGCGGCAGCAGCAACTGCTTCACAGCACAGGACCAGGGCGATCAATACAGGCCCCGGAAACTTCGTCGTAGCCGCGAACGGCGCCCAGTTTGTGCCAGCTCCTCAGGCAGAAGTCGTTCGCGCAGAGGCGGCTGCCTCCTTCGTCGCCTCACAGGCAGCAGCAGCTGCTGCAGCCCGTGAGGCTGCCATTGCAGCAGCAGCAGGGAAAGCTTCATCTCAAGCTGTGGCTCCTGCATTCAAGGGCGCAAACGCTGTCGCTACACCGTTCGGGAGCGGAGGCGACACATTTGGGGGTTCTCAGCCAACCCCTGCGGCAGCTGTGGCTGCTGAGGCCGACGCGGGGCAGGCAGCCGTTGGTCCGTGGCAAGCGGTCGTCGGCGGGGAGCAAGCAGTCGCCGACCCGGGGCAAGCAGTCGTCGGCGGGGTGCAAACAGCCGTTAGCGGGGAGCAAGCAGTCGCCGACCCGGGACAAGCAGTCGTCGGCGGGGTGCAAACAGCCGTTAGCGGGGAGCAAGCAGTCGCCGGCCCGTGGCAAGCAGTCGGCGGCGGGGTGCAAACAGCCATTAGCGGGGAGCAAGCAGTCGCCGGCCCGTGGCAAGCAGTCGGCGGCGGGGTGCAAACAGCCGTTGGCGGGGAGCAAGCAGTCGCCGGCCCGTGGCAAGCAGTCGGCGGCGGGGTGCAAACAGCCGTTGGCGGGGAGGAAGCAGTCGTCGGCCCGTGGCAAGCAGTCGGCGGCGGGGTGCAAACAGCCGTTGGTGGGGAGCAAGCAGTCGTCGGCCCGTGGCAAACAGTCGGCGGTAGGGAGCAAGCACTTACAGGCCCGTGGCAAGGTGCCGTCAGCGGGGAGCAAGCAGTCGTCGGCGGGGAGCGAGCAGTCACCGGCCCGTGGCAAGGTGCCGTCGACGGAAAGCAAACAGTCGTCGGCGGAGAGCAAGCAGTGGTCGGCGGGAAGCAAGCAGCCGTCGGTGGGGAGCAAGCAGTCGTTGGTGGGGAGCAAGCAGTCGTTGACGGGGAGCAAGCAGTCGTCGGCGGGGAGCAAGCAGTCGTCGACGGGGAGCAAGCGCTCACCGACTCGGGGCAAGCAGTCGTCGGCGGGGAGCAAACAGTCGTCGGTAAGAAGCAAGCAGCTGTCGGCGGGGAGCAAGCAGACGCCACTGGCGATCAGACAGTTCATGTCGGTGAATCGGGGACATCTAATGCTCACCTGGAGCCCGTAGATTCTGCTTCCTCAGGAGCTGGAGCTAGCGGGATGCAAGACACGGCTAGTTCTGCAACTGAGCCCAGCGATATGCCCGTGGCAGCCACCCAGGATATGGCATTTGCGGAAGCCTCCAAGAACTTCGCCACAGATTATATTTTCGAGCAGCTTCCGGAGTCAGTGCAGAAGTTGCCGGAGGTGGAGGCCGCGAGGCAGGCGCATGAGCTCCTTATGAGGAGCGTGTTTGACCTGATCGCGGCCGCTCAAGGTATGCCGCCGAGCTATCAGGACCCTGACGCCTATACTCCGCAGGCTGATTCCGTTAGCACCGAGCCAGACCACGCCTCGCCAAGCTATCAGGACCCTGACGCCTATGCTACACAGGCTGGCCTTGCTGGCACCGAGCCAGACCTTGCCTCGCTGAGCTTGGCTAGCACAGATGCCGTGCCAGTCGTGGCGCAGGAGCTCGAGCCAACGACCTCCCCCCCGCCCGAGGCCGACGCCACTGAAAAACCGACCAGAAAACGGACCAAAACTCGCAACCAATCCAAAACGGCCAACACTAAACAGTCAGCAGATGCTGCAGCTGAAGCAGTCCAGACCGAAGCCAAACCCGACAAGGCTGAGGTAATTACCGCTCGAGCAGTCGGAAACGCGGCAGTGCATGTGCAAGACGAACGTTTCAATGTCCTGGACCCAAAGTCTGCAACCAAGCAGACCAAGTCTGCGACAGCTGACCTCGGTGCCGAAGGTGCCGGACAAGAGAGTAGCAAGACAACAGCTGACGAAGGAAAGGGTGTCCATGGCAAGACAAGATCCAGCAAGGCGTCTGCCAGCTCTGGTTCCTCAAAGGACGAGCCCGCTGACATGGCGGCAGTTCTTCGTGATGATGCAGCCCCTGAGTTCCCTGAAGTTGTCGTAGCTGATGGCGGGGCCCAGTCCACAGATTCCAACCTTCCGATACCAGTGCAGCTGTTGCCAGAAGTTATAGCTGCAAGAGAAATGCATACCATCCTCTGGCGAAAACTGTTTAATCTTCCCCCATCTGCAGATGTTTTCTACCCAGAGAATGCAGCTTCCTTCTTCTACGCTTCCTCTGATCCACGGATCGTAGCTGACACTGATAAATGGGACAAAGGTAGTCCCGTGCCTCCAAAGCGCGAAACCAGCGATACAACGGAAGCAACTGTTGAGGCAACAGATCCCATCAGCCAAGTTTTGGAGCCTCAACACACTCTCAACCAGGTGGATCAACCCAATGCTGAAGCTGGAGCTGTTGGTACACTTTCATCTGATCCAGCTGGAGCTGTGGCAGCTGAAGGCGTTATCACTGCGGAAAACCCTGATGCCGTACAAGAGGGTGGCAGCGAAACCATGGCAGAGTATGCCGAATTTGGAGCTAGCGGCGCTCCAACCTCGGTGGCTGATGACGTTGCAGCGGTGGTCACCACCAGTCCTGCTGAGGCTGCAAAGTCCATCGCCCCGCTCTCGGAAGCCGGGGAGGGCTACCTGCCCGCGGAGGGCTCGGTCGCCGTGAGGGCCGAAACCACCGCCGACGCGGCGGCGGTTGACCCAGCGCCCAGCAATGCGGCCTCGGCAGACAAACAGCCGGCGCCGACGCAGACCGCCGACCCCGGCTCCGGCGTCGAGTCGATGGTGCTGTACCCAGAAGCCGGCGGCCGCACTGGAGGCGGCGAGAGCGCGCCCGGCACCGGTCAGGCCGGCGAGGGGCCCGAGTTCCTGCAGCCGCCAGCGCCCATCGAGGACACGGCCGAGGTGCAGAAAGCGCGCAAGGCGCACGTGGCCGCCCGGAGAGCGCACGTGCTGCTCTGGAAGGAGCTGGCCGATCGGTCGGCACTCTCCACGGTGAGGCCCGCAGACGGTCGCACGTGGTAAGAGATGCTAACCTGGCCGCGCTCCGCCTCGGCCCGCGGCCGCACCACAAGCGGACCACCCACCCACGCGCCCGGGCGCCAGCTGACGCGTCCACCTCAGGACGACCCGGCCCGACCACCTGCTGAAATCGGCTCACGCCCCGTCCCTTGTACAGTCCCCTCATACCCGCCACCTGCCGTTCTCGATCGCATGTGTACGGTTCCACCGCCTCCGGTGACCTCGGGCGGCCTCCGGTGACCGAGCTGCCGGGGGAAGCGGACACCGATGATGGACGTCGCCGCGTGGAGCACCACTTGTCTGCTTTGTCAGCTGTCACGCCGCCGTTCGTATGCGTCAGTGTTTATATGCATGCTCTTGTAAAAATATATTGTGATATTCGCCGTATCAGGTTTTCCCATTCTGCACAGGTTGAGGTGTGCAAAGGTTGAGGTGTGAGGTAGGTGTGCAAAAGTTGTTCAGCTTTTTCAATGCACCAATGCTGCTAAAGTTTTCGTTTTTCATTAGCATTTAAAAAGATTCGGACACAAATGCAACAAACGCATTCCGTGCCCAAAAAAACCATAAAGATTCGCAAGACATTTCGGCGGCTCGATCTGTAGGCCAATGTTTCGGCTGAGAGTCCGAGTAAAGGCGCGGATGGATTATCCTTATCTAGCATCATTTTCCTCTCTCTCCACGGTATCGAAACGTTTATAGCCCAGCGTCACACAGTTAATATCCTCAAGCTGTTGATAGGCCTTAAGTACCATCATCATTTTATCAGGTGGCACCATCATTATCATTGTCATTAAGCCACCTTGAAACTTATTACGCCATAATAACGTCATTCAAACTCTGCCATTTCATGGGTCATGCGGCGATCAAGGCCAAGTAAAATATCATTGTCGAGGTGTTCATATCTGGCGTTCGTGAGCGCAATTTCCAGATATGACGGCCGTCATTGGCTCTCAATCAATGTTCTGCAAGGTGCGATGACGTCATCAAACCATGACGCATTGAGGATCATATTTGCTAAACAGATAATTGTGCTTTCTAGAACAGGCTTTCTACTTGTGATTTACTTGTGATTCACCTTTTTACTTACTTAAAGGGAATGTACGTGAAACATTCCCTTTGACGCTCCTCGCTCAACAATGTCACATATGTCAAAGACACGTCCCACTGCACGGGTCCTATACGGTCGTCACAACGCTTTTGAGCAGATGCGACGCACAAAAGCAGCGTGTTGCAGAAAGTAACACCTGCACTGCAGTGCAGATGCCTAACTTCAGCACACTTTCGGGAAACCGCAAAAGATCTTTAGCACTGATAGCTGTTTATATACTCGTCTTGAAGGAGGCGATGCAATGTCCCGAAGTCCCTAAAAGCTCCAAGCTGCAAACTCGTTCTCACGTCGCATCATAATACACACGCTAACTACATCAGACTGCATCAAGCATCGTACTACATCAAAGCCTCGTCATGCCTCAGCACACGTCTACATCACATCATGACCACAAGAGAGCACGACAGTCCTGCCAAAAATAAAAAATGAAAATGCAAAGCGGTGCTGAAGATCAAATCCTTTTGAAGAGTTCAAAACAGAATTCGGCGGCGGCGTCAAATTCCATCCAACTTTCGTGCAACGTGCCCGCTGGTAATAATCCTTAAAGACGGCGCCCCACCATTGGGATGCATTAAAATACAGAGCCAGTGAAAGCTCAGGATTAGTCTAATAAATACACTGGGTAATGATGTTACTGTTACACCGTCAGAGCATAACAAGGATACCAATTTTACTTATTCTTGAGTTCAAATTCCACTGACAGCACTTTGTAACACAACTGTACTTCCTCCTGGCAGTCGCGATCACCGTCGTCATGACAACAATCCTGCGCTACAAGCGTTCTTTTATTCTTGCCTACTGGTAAGAATAAAAGAACGTTTGCGATTGGTTTGACGAGCAAATATTTGTAACCAAAAAGCTGCTTGGTTTAAGTTTGAGCCCGTGCGTCAAATGGATCATGTGATGCTTCCATTCACAAAGCCAAAGTGAGCCTCAAAAAGGACCACCGTGGTAAAAGCTATAGGGGAGAATTCAAAGTCATGGTGTAACTTAACGTCGAATTCGCGGGATGTAAGATTCAACCTTGCACATGTTTTTGTCTAAACGGACAGTTTTAAGCTTTTGTAGCATTTAGTATACAAACGTTTCGACACATTAGTACTGCTGCAAGCATTACAGAACAGTGTCCTAGAATTGCCAACTTTGGGTGTAAAGCGACACGCTATGGGAAGGAATTTTTCACTCCTTTTCCCCATATTTTATGTGAATTTTTCACTCCTGCCTGACATGCCAAACCCCTATTTCCCATTATGAAGTTTTCAGATGTCATCCAAAACCGAGCCCACTCGAAACCACCAAGCATAAACAAGACTCCGCAGAACCTGGACACCTATGGCTATGTCCTGCCTCACCTACATCTGAATCATGTCTATGTATGCACAGAGCAAGGGCGCCAGTTACCTCCAAGACCAAGAACCCCAGCGACCCTAGCCGCTTGCACGCATTAAGTTTGGTTTGTTCACAAAATGCATCACAATCTGCAGCTGTGCGCCAAATGCAAGGTTTTCACGCATCACCCATTTTTTTGGTCCCACCACCACGCCACGAAAGCAGAGCCTGGAGCAAACACCAGCAAGGCCTAGTACAGAATTTTACTCCACGTATTTCTTTTTCCCGACAAAGCTTGACCACCAAATTGCATCACTCTCGAAATGCATGAGCGAAAAGTTCAAGAAATGTCTTCTAATTTAAACTTACAAGATGAATATCACCACTTGAGCACTTACATTAACAGATTTTAAGTCAAATCAGCTGATTACAAAATTTGGCGAGAAAACTATCAGTCCTTACACTTATTTAGCTGCTTTTGTTTTTCCTGGTATCATACCAGTGTGATACCACGTTATTATTCCCTCCTTTTCGATTGTCTTTAGAGTTACCATCTGCCGCTTAAAATTCTGACCAATCTCTCTGCAAGATGCTCCAACTGAAAATTGTACCTATTTCATACATAATTGGACTAATTCGCCAGCCGCACAAACATGTTTGATATGCACCCAAGCGTGAACAATTCACAGGGAATGAAGGACACAATTTGAAGCACGCAACTTATTTTTGCTGCCACTTTTGCCCTCTTAAACCTTCGGTTAACCGTTTTCTTGGTTCATGGCGGTGCTCAATAATTATAAATCCAAGCCTTTCGAGTGTCTGATTTACCAGGCTACCTGGCAAGGCTAACAAGGCAAGGCAAGGCTGCCATGCAGAGCCTTGGGACAGACCTGACGCAGCTAATACAGAAATGTTTGATGGTAAAAGTCTGTCCTCTGGAGATGTTTATCGTGCACACCTCTTACTTGTCTCGCATTTTAATCTCCAAGTTTGGTGGGTATGATTGAAATTTATATTTGGGGGGCGAGTCAGATGACTCTGTCTGCCAGCAGACCATGCAAAAGGTACTGGAATTTTTGTTTTGGGAGGAGCAGGAAGAAGCCAGTAAGTCTCCTGTGGACCAAGTAATTGCTTACCTTACCTGCTTTCAACACATGATGCAAGCGAGGTAAGGTAGGTATCAAGGACAATAGACATGAGCAAGGTAACCAGAGTTAGCCATTTTCTGTTTTAATTCGTCGAGTTTTGCCATAAGACAAATTACGATGCCACACGCTTATTTTGTTCCATATTCTTGGTTATTTGCCCCAAATTTCTTTAAGTGGCCCCACATGTCTGCCTTAACCAGAGGTTTTCTGTAGTTGTCACGGTTTGCTGACCGGCAAATGACTGTACTGTTTATATGCGCTATATTTTTAACACAGTGATACTCTAAGCTGCATAGCAATTATAGCATGAGTTAAATATTGATATGTAACAAATAGTCAAACCACCCCATTTAAAATGTGAACCCAACATCTCAAACTTTGTCATTAAATATGAATAAACAAGCCCAAATGGATGCATTTGCTGCGGCTGAAAAGGCAAGCAGCAACACTGGTATGGTCATCTAAAAGCTACGTTTTTTTTGGAGAAGAGAGATTGTTTTGTGGAGCATACCCTTATTGCCCTTGACATAGGTTAATCATGACCATCAAAATAAGTTGTTCAAAGTGATTTAAAGTGCCTTGATTTGTTTGTTGTCAGCTTGTCTAATGTCAACAAACATACACAAGTGAACTGAATAAAAATGCAGGTTGAAACCAGCCAAAAAACTAACTTTAAATATCATGTTTTTATCACAAATGCTGCTGTCAACAGATAGGTGAGTTGAGATGATGTTCATCATATGGGCTACTCCAAGTTAGGCTAAGTTGGTCAAGTGCGTGGCAAGTGGCAATAGGAATTGTGCAAGAATCAGTAACTCACAACTGATGCTGTGATAGAAACAGGTTGTACAGGATGAGATGATGTAAGGCCTGTAAAGTGTTTTATGCTTGTTGCATTTTCTGTTGTTATTTTGTTATTGAATTCCTTTACTTCGTTTTGTTTTAAAAGTGCTGTAGAAGGGATTTGAAAAGTGCAGCATCAAACTATTGGCGTTAACAATTTGTTATGCTCATAACACTGTCATGGAATTACTATGTTTTAACACGCGCCTGGTTGGCCGGCTAGATACCTTTCGCTAGATACCTAGATACCTTTCGAGGGGGGGGGGGGGGGGGCGCGACAATTTGAACCCCCACCCTCTGAGATCCCGGGAACTAAGAAAGCTAGATACACCAAATTTACAGGGTGTCTTGACCTATATATATACGTGGACTCACTTAGGTTAAGGTTTCATGTTCCTAGGTCATGATATTCAGGTCGAATAAGGTCATACAAGGTCAAATTCCAGGTTGGTCTGCAAAGCGCCCCCAAAACCTAGGCAACTGTCTGTAAGCAAAAGGTTACAAGCCCGTTTGAGGTCATTGACCTTGTTTGACCCTTTGAAGGTTATGGTGACCAAAATGATACAAGACTGCTCTGAGTTTTGCATTTGAATAAGCGACAAAGATTGCGCTAGGCAGTATGTTCCTAAAACAAAGCGTTCGACCTGGGTCATCTTAGGTCAATGGCCTGTTCTGACCTCTAAGAAGTCAATTGACGATGCATAATGCAGTTCCTGCTGTCAATAAATTCGAAATGAGCACCAGAAGCTATTCCATACATCAAGCCCTAGAGTAATAAATCAGGTTGGTTTTGACCTTGGTCCGACCGTCATACCTGACCTTATGTCAACGTAATTTGCTCATTCAATATTTGTGGTGCCTAAGAAAGCATCTCAGAGATGCATGTTTTCGTCAAACACCCCGTTGTTGAATCAGATTGAACGATTCCCTTGAAATTGCTTTCGCCGAAACCATGGGCTGACTTTAACCTGCCATAGGTCAGCAACCTTACAATGTACATCTA